ACTTCGATTTCAATTCCATGCTCTGCCTGTCGCTTGTCCCTGCTTCCCGAGAATTAAGATAGATGAATCTGCTCCATCGAAGTTTTTCATTGTCTTCAGGAGTCATCGATGATCCCCATGCGGGAAGACTGATCAATAGATTGACAACAGGTTGGTTGTAAAGTATTGAATTGAATTGAATCGAATAACTCCTTCATTAGATAGGGGGTGGCGGTGGTATCACAGTTGACCATCACGCTTCCGGATTGCATAAAGCAAAAAAACATTCGTAGGACCTCTAGAATGGGCGATTTTAGATATGCGCCAAGCGAACAGACAGGTTATGCCTTCCGTGATTTCGGAGAAACAGAGCAACCGTTCCGGAGATTATTCGTCCTGAAGAAGATATCAAGCAAATCCGCCCTATAGAGTAGATGCAGTGCACGGAGATCGAAGTCGTCAAGAACATCAGACACTGGTGGAGGGTTCCAATCGTGAGGAGCACAGCGGAGGGTGAGTCTTTTGCGAAAATAGCGCTGGACTCCGTTGACGGCTCTGCGGAGAAGCACTGAAGATGGGTTCCGGACGGGAGAGCAGTGTGTTCATCCGAAAGTGTTCATCCGAATCACCCTGCTTTCGAGGCCTGGACAATTGGACATTTTATTAACATTCGTCATCATCGTGTCGTTGACCAACAAAATCACGGAGCCCTACTTTCATAAGAAATAAGCTTGGGCTTTAAAGTTTTCTTCTCACAGGATCTTCCGTCGAGTTCCTGAAAATATGAAAATATCATTCTCGAGTAAACTTATTCTCTCTCGTAAATTCCCGCGTAAACATTCTCGCGTCAGCTTCCGCTTCGATTCCTGAAGAACCAGATCCGGAAGCCTTTGACTGTTGGCCGCGTCCCAGACCGCTGGTGGGGAATAATAATCATTGAGGACGGGAGAAGCTCCCCAAGGTGAGCCTGAAGTCTTTCTATTTGGAGCTTCCTGGAGACCGGTGCGATGCTCGAGAATGAACTCACGGGAGATCCGTCCTCTGCTGCGGAAGTGGGTGCACCCTTCTTTGCCCGCTCCGTGTTCTTCGGCCCAGTGTTCAGACGCCCGACGACCCAGCGTGCCCAAACAGTTCCGAATCGTGAACTGACCATCTCGAGCATCTACTCCTACTCTCCGGACCGCACACACTGCCGATAACAAGCTTTCCGAAACCATGGAAGCACATCTGGCATACGGAGTCTGTCACCGCCGTGTGAAAAACGGAGATTCGACGGTGATACGTTCAGACTCGGGGGCATGGTTATCGAGAAAGTTAGCCGATTCACCTATCTGGGTATCGAATTGTGCTCAACCGGTGTCTTGTGCACGAACCACGTAAGCGAACGAATACGGAAAACAAAGCTGGCTTTCGCCTCGATTCCCACCCCCCAGAGACTCTCGCTCAAAACAGCCATCAGCCTGTTCGATCTCAAGCTAGCCCCAGCCGCTTCGTGCGGAATCCAACTCATGTGGAGTCGGTTGAGACAGACGCACTTCGAAATGCTGGACAAGATGAGGGCGAGCTACTTGAAACTGGTGCTTGGCGTCTATCGCTCGACGAAAAACCGTCTGGTTCACTGGATGACGGATACTGAGCTGTTATCGGAACAGATCTGGAAGAAGTTCCGACTCCCGGCCACCCCGGAATTCAACGCACACCGCGAAAAATGGTTCGAGAAGATGACGAACATTGAGCCTGACTTCTTGACCACGCCAGTCATGACCAATTCCTTCTGGAAGGATACTCTCTGCAAGTCACGCCACCGCATCACCAGAGGTGGATCTCACGCTTACCATTATCTTGTGTGTACCCGCCCAGACGAGCCGAAAGACTCTTGTAGATGGAAATAGCTGTTATCCCTCCCATTTGTACATATACTCGAACGCCCACATGTTCAGATGGGACTCGACTTAGACTCAGTGTGCAATATGTGCAAGTTAGTCTCGATACACCAAAAGCTGCTAATAAAGCTTATTTGATGAATGACCTCACGGATCGCGGGCAAAATCTGAGAGATTCGGGCACGTCGGAGAAGCCACGCCCGCACTTGGATACGAGTACAGAAAATTCTCAAGCGATTAGACAGGTCCATCTGCTCCCCGAGAAGAGCTCTTATCAGTCGATTACTTCAATTGCTCACTCGAATCGAATTGTCCGAAGAATTTGACGAGACGGACGGCGAGTCAACCATCGGGTCATTCGAAGCTGCCGATGGATCAGGCGGCGTGTCTTCGACTTGATCATCTGGCTCGGGGTGAGCGACTAATCGATAAGTTCTCCGTCGAAGTCCTTTTTGGTCCGCAGTTCGTCTGTCTGACTCCATGGCAATGGCTGAATCGAAAGAGAGACAATTCTGAGTCCCATTCTTAGGGTAAGCGATGTAGCGGAAAAATGTAGCGATGTAGCGAATTTTACTCACTGTGTACTTCCTCCGAAGGGAGGAAGGATTTCGGAATTTTGGCCTTCCAAATTTGAACGAAAAAGCACGAGACCGTAAATAATCGATCGCATGCTTCTATGTTGTTCGATGGCAACCTTGAGTGGTGACTTGGGTGTAAGCATTTCGTCATCCGGCTATTCGTATTCGCCCATCGAGATTCGTTCATCTCCCATTCGCATACACCCCTGAAGATTTCTGCTGCTTGTAAGGCATTCGAGGCAGCATGCAGCAATTGATCAGGTCCAGCCGGCGATAGATGCTAACTCTATCCCTTCTAGTTCTCTCCGCCAAGTCTTAGGAGCTTTTCGATGGGCGCCCTCAGGGCCGGGTGTCCCAAGCATTCTGTCTTCCTCAAAAGGTGGACGACAGACTCGAAGCTCCACGGCTGGAGGGCCACATCAAGACGAAAATAAGCATGTCATCGAGGCATTTTCCGCCGCGGAGCTCTATGAATTCCTCAGCGAATTCTTCCCGATTGACCACAAGTTGAAGATCTGTAAATTGCCCGCATTCACAAATGGCCGGAACTTGCCGAGCTTCTTATCGCGGAAATGGGAAGACGAAAACGCGATGCGAGAACAACGATACAATGAGAAAATCAGACGGCCCGAGTGGGAAAGTCTCTCCTGAAAGAGGGTCTCGTCTTACTGACTAAGATTCTCGCCGGCGGAGAGGCATGTTTTTTTGAAGTCTCTAGCTCAGAGGTTCCCAATTTTTTTCTTCCGCGGAACCCTTCGCGGAACCCCTAGTGTTCCGTGGAACCCTTCCTCATTTTTCAAAAAATTCAAAGTCCTGTCAATTGCTCTTCCCTTTCAGCTATTGGAGGAAAAACCACTCGTTTGTTCCGGACCAGACCCGAATCTTTATTGCTTGAGTCGATTCTCCCGTAAATTAGGAATGCGCATCTAGTGGGAACGTGCCTTGTGCAACGACCTTCGCAGTGTGCATTCGTTGCCGATCGATGCGCCAATTAGAACGATCCCCTTCGGGATTGAGGAAGACATTTGGAATAAGGAAAAGAAGTTACCCACAGGGCTACGACACCTAGGGCCCGTATATGACCGTACATATGGAAGCAAAACCTCGTCGCGGAACCCCGAGCTGCGCACGAGAGCAGACCACGGAACACTGGGGTTCCGCAAAGATTTTTTCATGGAATCCCCGGAAAAGAGCGACGGAACCCCAAGGGTTCCGCGGAACCCAGTTTGGGAACCTCTGCTCTAGCTATCCTGTTACACGATGTGTCAATGTTTTCCGCGATTCTAGAATTTGAGTTCCTGCCGCCTAAAATCGGGTTTGGCCCCACTGTGCGACGTGTAGGAAGATAATTGACGCAACGCTTCCTGGTCCATCGATTGACAGAAACGTCTTCCTTTCTGAAGGGGATTCGTGGCTCACGTCTCACGTGTGCTCACTGTCTCACGTGGCCCCAAGGGTCTGTGTTGCGGTGGGTTAGGTACCGGGAATCGGTAGGCTATGGCCTGAGTGCTACTCCGGCATTCACCCGGGAAGAATGGAAACCATAGAAACCATCCTCGAAGTGAACGGCTGCAGGGATCGAATCCGTGCTGCCTCCCGCACGGGACAACGTCAATGTGGCTAGCGCAAATCTGCATAAGACGTGCAGACCGCTCTAGCCACTCGACTATCCGTCGGTGTATTTCCGAGGGGAACAGAGCCGAAAATGATGACGCGCTCCTGCGTAGATTCTGATAGATGCATGACAACTCCACCGACCCATTACTCCGTCCGTATGATGGATCTTCATAATCATGCAGCGGGTGGACGCAAACGCGCGGACGTTGCCTGGGTTTGACATTGAGATTGGAGGCGTGCATGACCCAGGCATGAACGATTGATCAAGACCACTTCTTTTGAGGCATTTTCCTAAATTCGAGTGGAGAGATCTACTCGATTCTTGAGAGATAATCAAAATCTTGAATCAGATGAATCGCGGGTGCGTGATGGGGATATCAGCGAAGCGGACGGATGAGGATCGACTGACTGTAGGACTATTTGTCCCGGTCACTCTGGGCAAGAGGTTGACTTCGGTCCCTCAGAGCTCAGCCTATTAAGCTCCATCACTTGGCACCTGAGAAGATTCCCAGATTGAGAGAAAACTCTCAAACGCTCTCCATACGCCACCTCCGTCGACCAATCTCGGAATTCGATGAAGGAAATATCCTTGAGTTGATACAAGCTGCCGCTGCCGTTTCAGAGCTTCTAGATTCTATAATCAATCGATCACCGGATGACCCGATGTATTCCTCTCGATGAAGCAGTGCCGCTCTCTAAGCCGTCCGCTCCTCCCATCCATCCGCCTGATCGCAACTCGTCCGCAAGAGAGTCCTAACGTTGGTCCTGAGGTTCTATGGGACTTCGAAGTCGATTACCCAGAAGCGAACGAGATGAGAGACGCTAATTCGATTCAATAGGATTCAACACAACAAGCGGCTGCGAATCGATGAATCATTTTCCTAATGCGGTCAAGAACACTATACTCAACGGTTTCGGAGAGACGAGGAATGAAGGCATCAACTCAGTCGCCACAGTGATTTATTGCACCTGATGGAATAAATAGACAGCTGGGAGACGCCGCGCCGTATAAATTAACTTCAATGATTATTCAGCTTATCTACATAATGAGTCGGAACTTCCGCGAAAATCCCAAAACTTCTCAGAGCTATGTACACAATGAGATCCAGCCGGTGCTCGAGGCTCGCAGCCTAGAATCTACCATGAATCATGACGAGCCGTTTTATACAAGACTCATTTCATGGACTTGGTTGCGGAGAAGAGGAGTCGGCGTCTTGGTTCAAAGTCACGGGGTCCCCTTCGTGGTCCACGAGAGCCGTGAGGCAATCGTTTTCAAGTAGCTTCTGGAGCTCATCAGCTGTCAACGCCGATCTCTCAGGGAACAGGAACCTACGGAAGGGAAATGCATTCGGACAAAACCATTGGGATCCGAAGTAATCCCATGCGTCAAAATTTCAGCGTCATACGCTTGAGCTTTTCTTCACCTGACGATGAAAGGCGCTGCACAAGGGTCCTCCTGGAAATCGTTCGAGAAATCAATAGGTATCACTTCCTGCATTGCGCTGCCCCAGCGATCCTCTTTATGGAGCTGCATTTCTTGGACCATCCTTCGAGCCTCTTCTTTCTCTGTCCTCTTGGTACCCTTGATTTTCCGCAGCTTGGCTTCGAGGCTTGCGAGATATTGCTCTCGGTCCGGCATTACATAGTGGGCTTTTTCGTCCATTTGCTTGCCCTCTCCTGCAAGCGAATCCGATCCTTTAGTCCTCGCCAACGTCGACTACTGAGTCCTGAGATGTCCACCTGTGGCGAAACGGCTGCCTCATGACGTGATTTCTCTCGGAGGAAATGACGCGGCTTACGCGGTCTTCGAGTTTTTTTCCGCGAAGAGTCGATAGGGCGAGCTGCTCGGAATAATTAGCCGGCGCTCTCTCACCGTCTGAACATCGATGTCCCGAGCAAGGAAAATCTTTCTCCGATCTCTGGACCGGAGCGCGTCCCCTGCGAGCCGTTTATAATTAACGTCAGGATCAAATAACCTCGAGAGTCCTGCTCATCAGCGGACCTTACGCACGAAGGTAGTAAAATTTGAGATTAGTTTTCCCGTTCAAGAAAGCCACGGTACGTTTATCGTCTCCCCGTTTTACCCAGTCTTGGGTTGTCGGCCTCTGTATGGTCCCCGCCAGGATAGTAGTACGACTGACGCCAGTCAGATCGGGATCGGATGACCCATCCAGATGAACAAGTACGATCATATTCCATCCGTATTTTTTTTCCGCCCGCATCTCCGATTATTATCGAGGAGTTCGAGCATACCGCTCTCAGAACGACACGAGAGCGCGGTTCCTTCGGAAATTCAACCTCTGGGGATGAGCGAGCGTGGAGTCATCCGACGGAGTCATTGAGCGCTCGTTACTCGATCCCGTTCGGATCGTCCCATCCCTCAGAGCCTTATGCTTAGAGTAAACGGAACGGGCAACACTCGTGGGAAGCCGCTCAACTGCGAGGAAACGGATGCCGATTCCCCTGGCCGTTGGGAACTATTCTCACCCCGAAACAGGTGCTCGTCTGGACCAGATGTACTGCGGTTCGGAAACTTACCACTGCATGGCTCAAAGTTGTCTTCGAACGCTGTTATTGGATCCAACGGCTCCGACATGTTTCGCCAGGGGTCGTTCATCGTGATATTATCACAGCGCAGTGCCATCTGAACGGTCTGACAGTATGTGGAGGAGCCTAGGCAGCGCAGTGGTCGATGAGAGATTCACCCTGGTAGGGCAGAGTGAGTGAGCGATCGTCTACTCCCCTACGACGATGGTGGAGAAAGTGGTGGTGTTGACCCGGCTAAACGACGGGCTACAATGCGTACCGCTAAGCGCAGAGCGGCGAGCGGGAATATTGAATCTCTTGACAAGGCTCGTCCGGAGGAGCACCGCTGTCGACATTGAGCGTCGAACGTCCCGTCTCGACCTTCCATCGAGACCCATCATTAGAAGAAACGTGAGAGAACGTGAAAGTGAAGCTGTCGGAGGACCTTCGGTTCGAAACGAAGCGCGTGTATTTACAAGAGATCTCTCGCTCCGCTTCTCAGCGACGGATCCTAACTCTCCCTCGTGTAGGACTTCTCTCCTCCTCTTCCCTCAGTGATCCTGAACCAGGTCCTCGCTCTCCTGTGTTTGTGTTCTGCCTCAGAGGCAAACGGTTGCGGGCTTAATCTTTTTAGAAAGCGTTGAATGCTTTTTCCCGAGTGGCCCAACTCCGACCGAAGACATCACGCAGTCGGTCCGCTGCTCGGACCGACAGAGCGTTCGTTGGTTCGAGCGAGCTAACGACGAGCACCCCTCTCCAGATCAGACCTGGTGCGGAGCGAACGAAACAGCCAGCCCTGCAGCCAGCAGTGGTGGCAGGAGCTGCATCAGCAGAAGACTCGTCAGAAGATCGACTATACACAAAACCGGATCCCTGCCCGGTCTTCTGACTGAGGGCCAGCGGTTTTAGGTGTCTTCGGCGAACAAGGTGAGCTCCCTAGCTCGATCTAGTACGGTAGATGGGGGAGAGCGTCTATCGAATGCCGCCGATCCGTCTCGATCGGATCGAGTGGGAATGCCCGGGGAATGTCCCCAGAAGTCTCCGGCAAGAGTACCGGGTGTCGGTGGAGCCGATGTCCTTTTGAGAATGATCCCCTTATCCCTTCTCAACCGGAGAACTGATTCTCGTTTTGAACTCTTCACCATATGAGAGAACAGCAACAAGTCACAGTTGGACGGCCGATATAGAAAAAATATATCAACAATAAATGTTCAACGAGCCGTTGCTCCAACCTTTGAACCCCGGACCGGATTGTAACAGCTGAGAATTCGGTCTGTGAACATTGAACGTGTAGGCAGCTCGCTATCGGCGCGAGGGAAGCTTCGCTTCATCTTTTCATTGTCTTCTTCATCGGAGCATAGGCTTGTTTCATTCGCTTAGGAACTCCTAACCGGCCGCCGCTGTGTCGTTCTCATGGAAAAACCTACCCAAGTCCAAAGCATGAGTCTGCTCAAGACCGGCGGGGCTCGCAAGAATCGTTCACGATGTAGTCCAAAAAATAGAGCCCAGAGCTCCAGGGAGCTGCTCCAAGATTCAATAAGAGCCTGAGAGCCGAAGAATGACGATGTGTTCCGTTTGTTGTCGTACCCCGGAGTCATTCCGCCGGATGTGAGGGACCTGAATCGCTCGACCCTCGATATGAGAGTGGGAAATTCAATAATTCGAGATCTCTGTTCCGTTCTGCGTATCGCTGAATACTCGGGTGGGGATCTAATTCGAGATCGTGAGAATCCATGTCGCTGAGTCGTTATCGAATGTGCAGTATTTCGTGGGATGACGATATACGTTCTAAGAGAATTCAGGTTTGACGGAAGGTCCCCCGACGCTTGTCCGGCGACGTTCAGAGCATGCAGGCAGAATAATTGGAAATGTGCGGTCATAGAAATGTGCTAAATACATGCGCAGGGGAACGAGATTCAAGTTTGCACATTTCGCAAGAGCGAACATCCCATATCCTATGAGTCGCAAGCTTCGGGGACTTTCGGCTACAGAAGGATTCAGTCAAGGCAGCTCCAAGGCAGCAGCATCGGAATCAGGTGGAATTGGTAGGATGATTGAGAAAGCACCAGTCAGTCAAATGTGAAGTTCCCTTGAAGACGCGACGATGCAGCAAACGATCGCTGTTTAAAACAACAACAATATTAATTGTTGCGGCTGCCGATCTCATTGTTGCCGTAGTTAACCGTTCGGGCAGGTGCATCGATGGACTAATACCCTAGCGGCAGCAACTTGTCGTGGCATTGTCTGACGGGCAATAGAGTCAAGGATCGCCGTGTAGCAAAAAATCGCCCGTAAATGAGTCGACCGAGCCATTCGTGGGCGCATACCTGCTCCTTTCGCCTATCATCTCATATACTGGAGTAAGCGGGGATTTTCTTTTTTGTTCCAGAAAGCATGATGTCCTCCACTTGGTGACCGTTGGGTTGTCGGAAACCCATGCGGTATGGATACGACGTTCTTGAGCGAGCTCCTCGAGTGCTCGGTATGCCTGGAGCAGTTGGACGCGACGTCACGCGTCCTTCCGTGTCAGCACACATTCTGCAAGAGGTGTCTCCAGGAAATAGTCCAGTCAAAAGGGGAACTCCAGTGCCCCGAATGTAGAACCCCGGTGTCGACGAAGGTGGACGAGCTGCCTGTAAATATATTTCTAGTTCGTCTCCTAGAGGGAATCAAGAACAAAACCCCACGGAAATGCGGCGTCCAACAGTCCGATTTAGCGATTGTGGCGGCGGGCAGCTCGATCTGCCCACTCGGCCTCCCGCTAGGCGGCAACGGCGGCGGCGGCGGAGTTGCAATGTACAATCCAGCCCCATCGAGACTCTGCTGCGCCAAGGCGATCTACTCGTACGAATCGGCGAACGCGAGCGATCTGAATTTCCTCAAAGGCGAGTTGATCTCTATAATAAAACAGATCGACATCAATTGGTTCCAAGGCGAACTCCGTGGCCGGATCGGTTTCGTGCCGGCGTCCTACGTCTCAATCCTCACTCAGCCCAACGGACAGCCGGCCCCGATGGCAAAGGCGCTTTACGATTTCCACATCACTGACAAGTCTTCGGAAGAGAAGGACTGCCTCACATTCTGCAAGGGTGATCTCATCAGCGTTCTGAGGCGCATCGATGAAAATTGGGCCGAAGGTCGAACCGGTGACCGACAGGGAATCTTTCCAATCTCGTTCGTCGACATGAATCTCGCAGCCAAACAGCTGATCAAGATGATTACCTGCACGGGACCGTCGAGAGTGGTTCCCCCGCCGCCGCCGAGCTCATCGATGTCCGATCAGGGCAGCGGTGCAAAAACACCTATGCAAGGCCCTCAAGAGCTACTTCAGGATTTCTCGATGTCGTCCGAGAATAAGAGACATTCCCTCTCTGCCTTGAACCTCAGTCAGCCGCTTACGACGCCGACTGCGACGTCGATCTCGACGTCAACGTCGTCGTCGTCGACCGTCTCGGAGCATCGGCACTCGTTGGAGATTCTCCTCGACGGTCGAGGACTCGGAAGCGGAGGAGGGGGCGGGGGACTGCAATCGCCTCTGGGACCGGCGAACGCACCCCACGGCAAGATGTGTCTTTCACAGCTGCCCGTATCCGGCGGGCCTTCTTCTCAGACACAACTCGCGCAGCTCAACAAGCAGCAGGTGGACCAAAATTCACGGCGAATTCTCCGGAACTCAGAGAAGGACTTCTCCACGTCGCAGCATCAATTGCACCAACAGACAATGTTCTACATCGCGTTGTACAATTACAGACCGCAGAAAGACGACGAACTCGAGTTGAAAAAAGGCGAGGTCTACACCGTGTCTGAGAAGTGTCAGGACGGCTGGTTCAAGGGCAGCTCGTTAAAGAACGGTGGACAAGGGGTGTTCCCGGGGAACTACGTGCAGCCAGCAGTGAAATCCGCACCTTCGGCCAACTCGTCGTCGTCGTCGACAACATCGACGTATTATCAGCTGTCCGCAGTCGGGGCGTCGAACAGCGGCGGCGGAGGTGGTGGCCAATTGCTCTCTGGGCCGAACTCGATGTGCATATCGCCGATGAGACCTCGCAGCAACCCTCAACTGCCGCTCACGTCGCTGTACGGAATCAATTCTCGAACATCAGCATCGGAATGGCCCTTATCGACGGGCACTTTCGGAGGAGGTCAGCAGCAGCAGCAGCATTACAATGACGGCCTCATGATGGTCAGCCAAGGATTAGCTCAAACGGCCTATCGCGGTTCGGCCGCTTGGCACACGCAGCCAGCCAACGAGGACCACCAACTCGGAGTTGTAGCACTTAATCCCCAGCCTCAGCAGCAGCAACAATCGACGATAAACCAACATCCTCAACAGCAGCAGCAGCAGCAGCAACACCTGTCGCTGATCAAGAGACTCACTCGACATAAATCGAAATCTCCCCCTCCCGCGCTGGGACTAGGTTTGCTGGAGGACGCCCCCCAGAGCGTCCACATCAGATCTGGTTCCTGTCCCAGCAGTCATAGCTCCCCGGCTGGGTCGTCGTCAGGACCGTGTCTTCTGCATAAGAAAACAGCCTCTCTCGACGATACCCTAGCCTCGCCGTCGAGCCAGAATCCTCCGAACGTCAGCCTGAACGCGTCTCCCGCGGCGGAGCAGTTCCGCTGTATAGTGCCTTACCCACCCAACTCGGATTACGAACTTGAACTCAAGGTCGGGGACGTTGTGTACGTCCACAAAAAACGAGAAGACGGTTGGTGCAAGGGAACTCTACAGAGAACGGGTCGGACAGGCCTGTTCCCAGCGTCGTTCGTCACCCAGACGGCGGACGTCTACGCTGCGTCGGACTACCCCCAACTCCAGGCTAGTCATCTCGGACTGCCGCCCGCTCCTTCGATGTTCCAGTGTGGAACTCTCGCGGCGCCGCCGATGAATCATCCTTCCGCGCAGCACATCCTCAATCCACCCCAATAGTGAATCCAGTTCCTTTCGTTCGTGCGACAGATTCATGCTCCTGACGCGACTGCTGGCGAATTGAGGACGCCGCGATCGTAGTGAACCGAGAAACCATCATCGCAATGATCGAAGTGAGGTCATCACGATTCAGCGATTAGCCCGAAGAGCTTTATCATGGAGATACACAGATACACTTACGGACACCTATCCACACGTATCAACATGTGAATGAGGGAGGCTCATGGTCCAGAACGTCGAAAGCTAGTGTGCAGGGTTGCCAAATTTATTGAACGGACGAGCCCAGGACAACACGTGGAGAAGAAGACGTATCTATCTACCCGTTTATCTGACTGACGATTATTATTCATCTATAATCTATATATCTAGCAAGCCAGCTAGCTAATATACATATTCCAGTCTAGCTCATGTGTAGTGTACGAATGTGGACGGATGAGCGAGATTCACCTGGGAACCCGTCTAGCGAACGCTGCGAGAGAACAAATCGTCCCTCATTTTGCTCATGCATCACCAAACCCCCAATTTTCATATTCTCCCGTATTTTCCCTTCCTCCTCCTCCTCCTCTCCCCCCCCTGACGTTGCCCCCGACATTGGAGATGATGAAGTTGCTGAAAGCATTGCAAACTCATGGGGAGAAGTAGGGCCTTTCATTCGTCGATGCCATGAAAGAAAAACTCAAATCCGATGCCAATTTTACGATTGCTTCCTGTACTCGTCTCAATCGTTCCCCTTCGAACTCGGGACGGCGGGGCGGCACGTTCCCTGTCGACGAATCTGTGTAACCTATCAATCGAGGAGCGGGGCGTGACTTCGCCTTTGCCGATTTCTGTACATTGACGGCGAGGCAAGCGAGTTTCGAGCAACTATCTTTGTGACTATCGGCGCAGCTGGGCGTCTGGGAGACACCTTCGTTCAAGGGATGGACCGATACTTTGTGATATGGAATAGAGCGGAATCAGTGATGGCAACGTGCTAGTGTTTGTCTACTGCGATATCGAGTCGGAGCTATGATCGATCGATCGATCGATGCATCAGAACTATAACGGTATTCAAATAATATATAAAGATCCCGCCATGTGTATAATAGGTTGATTATTTATTGTGATTCGCACGGCGGAGAGAGCCACTGATCAACAATTCAACAATTGTCCTGTGAATTGATTTGGGGCAACACCGTAGGCCGTAGACTCTGCCGGACTCCCTTCATGGAAAGCGTGTGAGGTCCCAAACTAAGTTTCATATTTTCTCATTGTCATTTGATAGCAATCTGAACATTTTCCGCGATCTTCGTGAATCAAGTCATCGTTCGTGTCGTGATCGTCCATGTCCACGACTTCTGATATCGGAGTAACATGCTGGGGCAACATCATACATGTGATCGATTGTGACGACGACAGATGAACACTTGCGAGCCTTCAATCGATTAATCGAGTGACAAACATTTGTTCTGACCGAAGAGATTTCCGGCTCAATTTGAAAGATCGATGAAGCGAATGCGGCGGAAGCGATCACAGCCCGATTCTTGTAAAGCGAGAAGTGGTGATTCCATCCGAGTTTCTTGGAGAGACCGGCGGTTGCGAAATTTCTTTCTCGGTTCCGTTCGACCGGCAGCTTTTTTTCCTCGAAAAATCCAACGGGAAGAACAACAAGGAATATCCTCAAGCGGGAAAATAGCCATGCTGAGCCTCTATGGACAATTCAAACGGAGCGATACACTATGGATCATTTGAAGGTTCCGAAGGTTTTGTGATGATTGATACTGATGAGATTTCAATGTGAGAGCAAGAAACTAATATAGTTGATATTCTTCTCCTATAATTGTGACGCATTCCATACAACCAATGGCTCCCATTTCTGAAGCGCGGCGGGGAAAGCGCCCTACATCCTGGATAGGAGTTCCGCTTTTGAGATAAACAAATGAATAAAAAGTTCTGTTTTAAAACACTTCAAGAGAATTCGGCATTCCTCTCGCATGCAGAAATAAGCTCTCTATAGATTACGCTGAGCCAAGCTCATTTGGGGATTCCAGAGCCATTCTCTCGAGCTTCCCGAGCCGACATAGGGCTTGAGAATGGTGGATGGAAATCACAGCAGCCCCGATCTCCGAGGCAGTGGATGCGAAGCGGGAGCCGCGAACGGAACGCGGCCATTATCGAGGGGAGCTCAGAGAGGGGCCTTAGCGCTAGGATCAGGCTCCGGACTCCGGGCCTTGGCGGAACTCTTCTGCATCTACCATGGATAATGAAGCTAATGTGCAATGGAATGGTCAAGCCGCACCTCCGTCGAAGGTTCCTGATGTCTGATGAGCGTCCAGGACACGCGACAGCTTTAAAGATTTTTATTGCGAGGCTCCAGATCACTTGTATGGCGGATGCTTGCAGATTGTACCACTCAGTCGTCCAGGAAGATCACTTTGAATATTCGCTGCCATAATACTCTTCCTAGGACCTCGCAATGCATCTCCCGACTTCCTTTCGGGGGGCCGGAGGATGTGAGGCTCAGTTCTCTGATATTCACTGATTCAATCCCGGAAGCCGGTATTTTCAATCAAGTCACATTCCATCTCGAGCGGATCCTAGAGTCGGGCTGTTCGGCCGTGGTCAAGTCTCGACAAAGAGAGCATCCCGTGTCCCGGTCAATCAACCTAGTTTTTCGATTCCGCAGAGGATTTCCGAAGCTCTGGAGATATCACCAGGGATCCTGATTCTCTACCCAAGCATATCGATATCGGTGGACATTGTTTCAGCTTCCGGATCTCTGGACAGTCGCTCCTCCGGGAGCTCGATCGTAAACGACGCAGAGTATTCGGGTCGGGCGCGAAAAGTTCATCGGAGCTGCGTCGCTCGATTTTCTGACGTTCGGAGCAGAAAGCCGGGGGGCTCTTCAAAAGAGTTCGAATCCGGATAAGAGCGTCAGAATTTTTCCAATATGCGGTTCGCAGGTTCTTCGGAAGGAATGACGCAACAGACATTGTGAGCTCGAGGAGGTTTGGAGTAAATCTCCCTAGACGGCTACTTGTATTGCTTGTTCCTTCCTGCGACGTTCCATAACTGTCCGACTTATTTCGCAACGAATCTCGGCGAACCTCGCCTTGTGGGGACAGAAGCTCCTCCTCTCCGGAACATAGTCGCCGCTGGCGCCGCCGTCCCCCTCCGACGAACAAGGTGCGTCTGTCGAAGCGGGGAGGAATAGAATCGGAATAGGTTGTAACTTGTAACAATCATCCCGCATATTGTGGGCAGTGTTTCGTAATGCAAAGTGGAAGCCTCACGACATCATTCCCGGATAATGCCGACGGATCGAGTTGACGCCAGTATTTTCAGCATCCCAGGAGGAGATCTCGCGATCTTCCTATACGAAGTGATGAGATTCAAAGCTTTGGTGATCTGAGGCTACCTGCAGGACAGAGTCGGGAAAGGAGGGAACCGAAAAGAGGCTCGGAATCTTGAGATGGGTCTCCAGCACCGTCCGGTCTCCAAAACTCCAGGATGAGCTCACGACGACGCGATCGGTTATGGGGAGATTGCGGAACTTGGGTTCGTTCTGAGCTCTTCGAGCGCCGCCGCCATTCCTCCGAATTCCCGGGGTAATGGCTCCCCGCGACGGGCCCGTCTGACGCTGATGTAGAGTTTCCTCAGAGAGGCAGTGACTTTCCGTGAAAGATATTGGCGACTTCTGAACCGCGAATTCGAGAATGAGTTCTCACTTGGCAGTCCACTAACAGATGAAGATGACGAGGTCTCGTGATTTCTTTCGCGGAGTGTCACCCCGAGAGATGGTCGCGGAAACCTTCGCTTATCTTCGCGCAACGGAGGCAGACATCCCCAGACTTTGCCACGATCGGATCCAGCTCTTCTCATAATTTTCATGAATTTCATCTTCATCACTCAGGAGCAGTGCTCGAGAGCGCGCAGGAGCGCCTCCCTTAGGCTCGGAAAGGAGGTACACAGTCTAGTGATTCCCTTCTTGAAAGGAGCATAGCACTTTGAGGCCTCAACTTCTCGTCCCTTGAAACCCATTCGAGCAATGATCGTGAATTGTAGGCAGTTCTCAGCGAGGATCCGCATGCGCATCGGCGACATCGGGAGTTGCATTGTCGAGCTACTTATGTACGGTGAGAATTCGCAAGTCTCCAAGGGCTGCCTACAGCCGGAGACTCGACTGACTTGATGGTTTGAATGATCGGGCTCAAATTCCGAAGTCCCGCCGCTAATCTCCCCAGGCTCCCCGCGTGAGATATCTCAATTGAAAAACGATGTCACGTCGTCGAAAAATTATTCGGAAGTGATTGTCCACTTCGTTTTGGGTTGGTCGAACTTTTTTGGAGACCTCTGAATGGAAGACTCTTCGAGCGGGATACCGACGCATGAGCCGTCTAAAATAAGGACAGCTGTCGAAGCACGTGATTCAGACGCTTCGCTGACATGGTTCCTCACTCCGGAAGTCGACCAGACCGCACTGTCGAGCTCGAGCACCGCCTCGCTTTCCTCTCTCCCACAGGAGCGTCAATGCGGTCGGTCACACAAAAAGGCTTGGAGGAACCTCAGAAAACCGTCCAAGCTGAAACGCATCTTCCTACGCTCTGTGAGTACGTCCGATCCAGCAGTCGCCCGGAGATTGTTCTTCACCAGGATGATCATCCTCACCGGCTTTCTTGTGATCATCGCTTTCATATACATAATCGCCACCAGCCGAATAAACCACGAAGGCGACTCGGCGACGCCACAAGATGACCCGATTCTATTACAATCTTCATCGATGTTTACGACCGCATCGGTTTCATCTACAACCGCGGGCTCGACCCCTGCGAGAAGTTGAGATGTCTACATTTGGAAGTCTTCGATGCTCGTAGAGGAGTTGTTGAAATTGAGACCGAATTCTTTTGCATGGCAGTACCCCGAAGGTCGACCGACTTCAAGCAAGAGATTTCGACTCAAAGTAAAGATACTTTCCCGGCCCAATGGCTGAAAGGTGTCACGGGAGAAGTCCTAGAGTCAAGGAATCGATTACTCGTCACCTTGATCCTAGACGCAATCACGTGGAGAAGAGGACCTTCTCTCGTTGCTTAATTATTCGAAACATCAGGGAGGTCCCCATTGTGCCGGTATGCACGGTACATCTACCGGACAGAGTTCTAGGTGAGGCTCGGAAGAATTTACAATATCCGCCGTGAGGTTCATTTCGATAAAAAAGAATTTCATCCCCCGGATCTCTGAGAATCGTATCGGGTAAGGTCGGTGTTCCCCACGGCGGGAACCGACTGATATCTGTCATAGCCGAGTCTATCTGTCGAGTCTTGGATTTTGATCATCAATCGACATGATTGGCGCCAAGCCGTTCGCCCTCGTAGGGCAGGGGGGAATACGGTGGAGAATTATAAGCGGACAGAGAGCATCGATTGCAGCTTGCAGCTCATTTGAAGAAAACAATCCCAGTCACAGATTTTTCCTGGAGTCCCCCGATCACCGAAGAGTATCCGGCTCTCCGACTCCGTCTATCTAGAAGCGTATATTCGAGATCGGGATGCTGGTCTCAAGTAGCATCTTACGATCCGTGTAGGGGCAGACAGAGTCGTCTTTCATTATCGCGTCTCTCGTATCAACCACCTGTTTAGATGACTTATCGATTCGAACTGCGTTGCGGCTGTATTCGAACCACAATCAAGGTGGTGATGAGTGACTTACTTTGAAGGACTCCCTCGGCTCCTGAGAATTACTCGGGAGCCTCGGTTTCGGTCGGAATTTTCGGTCTCTCCCTCGTTTCTCATTTCCGGATCCTGAGCAGATGCGATTCGTCGCGATGTGAGGACCCGACCGGAGACACGGCAGGGAGCTCGTCTAATGCTCACTGAAAAAAAATGCTCCTCTCCGTGAAGGGAGCGCTCCCTCCTGAAGCGCGGCAGACGGAAACGATCACGCAATTAAGGGGAATATGTCGTTCTTGAGAGATCAGTCGCTCGCTCGGATTTCCTTCTTCCTCTTTCGCGAGAAGATCTCGATAAGGTGGTCGGGTACCCGCGAGATAAGAGCGCACGTGAGGGGGAAAGTCGTCGGCGTCGAGCAACCTTGAACGTAGGGTTAGCCTAGCTCATCGCCATTCACAGGATTTTCTTTCTCTCCCGCGGAATCTCTCTATAAGGGCGAGAACTCACTCCGCTTGGATGAATCAAGACAAATATCGGTAAAAATGTGGTACTTTCCGGTGTTCCTCGTGCTGCACTCGATCCCGTTTTCGTTCAGCAATGCTCCGCCGGATCATTCCACGCGACAAGCGCAGTACCTGGCGAATTACACCTTGCAAGAGCGGTGGGACAAATTGACGCAATGCATGCTCAAGAACCATTTCCCAGAGAGCACTGTCGAGCACGTAGGAGATCTGTTCCGAGAGGTCGACGGTGAAGTTGATGGATGGTATCTCTTCCGAGCGTTCGATATCATCAAGGACAACTTCAAAAAAGCTCGACCATGTGTGTGTAGAGGAGCCGGCGTAAGCTACGGAACAGGGAGAGCTAAACACTGCTTTCCGGAAGATCTCGAAACAGATATGGTGCTCGAGTTGTGCGTCTCAAGTCATCCGGAACAGGTTTGGAGAACGCTTCCGCAATACTGTGATGTCCCGTCGAGAGTAGATCAGAAATGGTGCTGTGAGAAGAATAAAGAATGAATTGAGAAGGTTAGATCCCTACAGCTCGTGCCTCGGCTTCGATCCGGAGCGTCCACTCTCAAATCCGCGAGATTGGGTGTGGGACTCCGAGAATTTCGCAGAAACGCTTCTATCGGAAGTTTAAGCATTCGTGATGCATCTCTGCAGAACAATCTCCGATTTTCGGTAGAGGTCCATGAGATGAGCAGCGTCTGTATATATGTACACTCAGTGGGTTGCAACCCCTTCACGGCGCCCGGGGCGGGCAGCGAAAATTCAAAATTGGACGCGATCAACCGTGCAGCCCCCTGTCCGAAAATTTTTCGAGAGAAATTCCGGATATTCTCACGAAAACAGCCGTTTTCCTGAATGTCGAAGCCGAAAATGCCGCCCCCTCCATAGTGCCGCCCAGGGCGGACCGTTCCCCCCCTGGAGCACGCTACTGTGTACACATATCTGCAGTGTAGGTATCAAGCCAATGGGAGTTCTAGCTCGAGACCAGATCAGCAGCCGCGCTCCGAGCGGGCGGATCCTCAAGTTTTTCGGAAGGTACTTTTCGAGTGCAGTTTCTTGTTTTTCACCGGATAGTTTTGGCTTCGAAGACCAGCGCTGGCGTGGAATCGCTTCACTCGACGCGGCACCCGATCCGAGAGCCTTTTCGCTTTTCCTTTTTCCTTTCAACAGGTGCGAGCTCTCGGGACTCATCTAGTGAGTTAGCCGTTAGCGTCGGTCCGCGTTACGGGAGAGTCGCGTGTTAGACTCTGGCAGAATCAGAAAACGCGGTATCGAGCCATGAGCATCTAAACTGGGATTGTCAACCTGAGCTTCAAGACATGTAGCTATTCCGCTAGTCACTTTGAAGGACGGTTGGGCTCGATAGGGAAACAAGGATCCGGCCGAAACTGGTCAAACAGTGCGCATATTCGCAGGGAGAATCAAAACAATTCTTTGACGTCCGTCACGTGAGCCCGTATCTTCAGCAGCCAGGTCGCAAAGACGCACAGAGACGCGGGGACGGTGAACCGCGAAAGGATGGCTCTGTCAGCCGTGGTGACGCTCTCACTCGAGTGTATCAAAACAAGTCTATAGTGAGCCCTGGAATCGACTCGGGGAAGACTTTTTCAAGCTCTCAGCGAAAATCAACACGCGTCATCGTGTCGAACCATCTTGATGTCAATCGAATGAGCGACACTCGCTGAGTGATGCCGTAACTTTCGAGTTATCGCTTGGCGGCATTCCCTTTCGGAGATATCAGCGACGAGAATAAACAAGGGATTCGCGACATCTCCCGAAAAACATTCAGATTAGCTATTCGACTCTCCTTCTACATGGCGCTCCGAATTCAGGGTCGATGACTCTCTCACCAGTCCCGAGGATTTTCGGAGACTTTTCTACGTATGAACGCAAAACTTAGAGACCAGGATTTAGGGAAAGGTAGCGCGGTCCCGACCTTACGTAGCAGTACCACCAGAAGGGGCTGAACTCACCTGGTTAGACCTGACGCACGATACAATTCTTGATTTAGGTACCGAGGCAAACAATCGCTGGGAACCGCCATACATGGAAGTGCATGGTAGGCACGACAATTGTAGACCTTCGTGCTTAGGCGAAGACTCCGTAGACGAAAGAAGATCCTTATGATTTATTTTCTCGACAGGCCTGTATGATGAATGCACAATGCTATGGAACTTTACATCAACCCTTAGCTCTGGGAGCGCTCGTCGTGTTCTTCGAGGAGTCTGCGACTACTTTTGTGGCGCGAGTCGACGGTTTCTGAACAGCTGCTGCTGGTGTCTTCACCGTGGTCGGAGCTTGACCTTGATATTTCTTCCGGGGCCCTTGCCCCCCAGGGGAGGGAGGTGTTTTCGAAGGCATTATTTTCTTCGATCCTGCGGGACACTCAATAGTCTCAGCTTATCCGATACGGAACTTCCCACGTCGCGCTCGGCTGATCTCGCCTTCTAGGATAGAGATGACGATACCAAGTGCATATTCAAATTCAGGACGCACCTCTATACTGAGCAGCCGGCTCGACGGGTCCGACCTTGGCTTTTCTGGCGGCACTTTTCATAACTGCCTCGTTCTCGGGATTGCCACCGGCTATCAAGTCATTAGTGCCCAGGTCCACATCTGACGTTGGGGGCAGAAATTTGTGTCGTTCAGTCTCTCAAATGTTCAGGGTAGAAATATCCAATAGAGAAACATTCGATGTGGTTGCGGAGTCGGACCTACCTTGATAATGATCGAATGGATCCCACGTTTCGAAGTTCGAAGATTCAGTGACACCGATCTGCTCGGAATACGGGTTCGGATCCGGATACGATGTTGGATATGGATTCGGAAAGGGAGTAGGGTAACTTGTAGGATGGTAAGTCGGGTATGCTGTCGGATAAGGATTTGGATATGGAGTCGGGTAAGGGGTAGGGTAAGGGGTGGGGTACTGGGTGGGATGAGGAGTGGGATAGGGTGTAGTATAGGGAGTAGGATAGGGTGTCGGATAAGGAGTGGGATAGGGTGTAGGATAAGGAGTGGGATGCGGAGTAGGATAGGGTGTAGGATAAGGCGTGGGGTAGGGTGTAGGATAGGGGGTTGGATACGGGGTGGGATAAGGCGTGGGTCGTGCTGTAGGATATGGATTCGGATAGGGATTGGGATAAGAAGTCGGGTAGGGATTTGGATAAGGCGTGGGCCGAATCGTCGGGTGTACATGACTCGTGAACCAGTAAGTGTTCCCGGAGTCGGATTGATCATATTGAGAGGTTGTCGGGTATCGCACAGTACCCTGTCCACGCTGATTCGCGCCTCCTGAATGAATCACGGAATCTGTTGCAATTTCATGGTTTTTGCAATAAGCTTGCCTTCCAGAGGACGGAGTCGAATATGCTCCTGCAGTTGACCCGATACTCCAGAATTTCCCACTTGAGAGAAAAGCTTCCAATATGAACGCTCGAGACCTTATGCTACCACTTTCAGAGTCAGGGAATATTGAAGCCCCTCTCCGAAATCGTTCCCCAACTTCCAAATGCGATGCATCAGGTCCCATGAGAATTTTCTCCCTCAGAGGAAACTGTCTTGGACTAAAAAACTCAAGACCATCGACCCCTGACGCAGACACGCCGCGTCGCGCTCATATCACGGACCTCCCCGTCGACGCCGTCGCAGGGACGGCGGAGACGACCCCGACCTCATTATTTATCAGGCTTCGCGATTCTTGTGGGCTCCGAGTTTCGCGGGTACCGATCGAATTATTTTGTTAGGATTCGTGTGCAAGACGCTTACCAACGGTCCGGTAGACAACTCTCGGGTAACACAGACTCCCCGTCGGAGCGGTCGACGTCCTGGCTCCTGCTAATCTGGGCTGATTACACGGGTACGGATGAACCATCGCCATGCGTTGCCCATTTCGCATGAAGGTCTGGGAGAGAGGCACCGAAATCTGTCGACATTGATGATGATTAGAAGATTTAAGTCGAATGGGAATGCTCGGACTATTATCAAATATTTGCAGAGGTTCCTGTTACTATCTTTCGCGTGGAGGCATCTCGGTTTGGGACGCCGGAGAGAATTTTCAGAATTCACGTTTTCGGCGGGAAAAGTACAACTTTCACTCGCATGAGATGGCGTTTCACTGACCGTTCCCGAGAGATCCTCAGAATTCTCGAGATCCTCGGCTCCGCGAGAATCGATCTTTTCTCCATGTTCGCACAGCTCGGGAAGCGCTGGAACGGCCGGTTTCCACCATGCGAATTCCGAGTTCGCTGGGAGTGGCACTGTGCGCTCAAGCTTCTGTCGTGTCCCTCGTCAGTCCCTCGATACTCGAAACGCGCTCGGATCATGACGGCGGGGGATCGAGCGAGCCGGTGTAAGAGCTATGATCTATCTGGGCGCGGAGTTCTAAATTCACCCTGTATTCTCAGCCTTAGATCAGCTGCATGATCGGAAAGCGGTAGCGTACTTTGGGGGGGAGTAAGGGGGCCATGCCCCAGCCCGAAACACATCCTCCGTACAATGAGGTCTATGGGGATCATTATCATCATCATGATTCTGCCCCCCCCCCCCCGCAAAAACATTGCTGGCCCCTCCCAGAAAAAGTTCTAAAAAAAATCCTGTCGGAAGGTGCCTCGTTTCGAAAGATTTCACTATCCGATATTTGTGCATCATTTCGGACTCGAGTCTCGAGACGAGCGAACCAGAGTCCTCTCATAATTCATGATCTATCGTTTTCTCGGAGCTTTCGCTCAAAAACTCTAGCTCAACCCTTTCGAGCTGGACAATCCAGCCGAGATCCAACTTCCCTAGTGTCACCTATGGGCCGACGTCCGACTAGCGAATCGATTGATTGGAGCGAATTCCTCGTGAGCCGGATGTTTTGCTCCCTACACAAGGCATTCTATTTACCTGCACTGAGCCATCTCTCAGAATCGTTCTCAGCCTCGCTTGGCTCCTCCACAGCTGATCCGGCACCCGTTTACCGTTCGTGCCCAGATTCCGCGTTTTTACTTGGAACTGAGTCTGACCCGGTGGCGCGACATCCCCGAAGTTTTGTATCGTACCTTCCAGATATTCCTTGGCGATCACTGCTCTCGAATCGGCCTCGCCTGGAAATGAGATGAAGCTGAGATGAAGATTGAGATCACGTCTCGAAGATCATGAAAAACCTCACGAAGATGAGCCGACACTGCTCTCTTGCAATCGGTACCTTTCTGGGGTGAACTTAGAAGCAGTTGCTGAAGCAATAGCAATACTAACGTCATGTTCAAGACTTCTGAGCTTATTTGGGCGGGTGCAATGTAGCCTCAGTGATCGGTATAGAAAACGACATCGTGACTCCGCCAAGGGATCGAGCACGCGATGAGATCCTCGAAGAGGGCGATTTTCGCTCTGACGTCGAGAGACGACAATTCGTCATCGGAATCCGAGAATTCCTTCAACGACAATAGTCATGCGACTTGCGGAACTTCCCCACGTGAGGTCCACCACCGAACATCCGAGCGAACGGTTCCGGATAAATGGGGATATGAATTTATTTTCTCCGAAATTTCGATTTCCCCTTCATGACTCCACTCCCCCCCCCGTACTCTGGATCGCAAGCCTTCTTTCCGCAGGGTCTCTTCCGTCACAATCGCAGCGAAGTGGTCTAAGACACGAGAACAGAAAACATTCCGAAGTTTCAAGCTGTGGTCTGACTGACCGCGCTTTTTCTGAGCTGTGCTGTGAACTTGCGTTTTCTGTTTAAGCCCTTGCGGCTGCTGCGGGAACAAGGTGCCCTTGATATGATGGAGACCCGACTGGCGCCAGTTAGGGTTGCGGACTGGTTCAGCGGCAGACAAATTTCCACAAGCCTCCCGGAGATGGAGCTCATACGGGATTTCCGATGCAGTGAGTTTTCCGTTTCGATTTTTCTCTCTCATGGTCCCGAAGTTTCTCAAATCAGGGCTCTGAATGCTGCTCGAATACACCGACGAGGGATCGCTACCGCGATCCTCATTCGAAGCTTTCGGTGTCGAGTAGTTGGGAGCCCTGCAAGTTATGTTTACGGTGCTGAAAATCTTGTGGAGCTTCCTAATCCGGGAGTGGAAACTTCGGATCCTCCAGTTCGAGGGCTCTGATCTTTTTTTACTCCTGTCGGGACCCGGAATCTTCCGTTGACGATTATTTCGAGGAATGCTGATTATTTCATTTAGGGAGGCATCGCTCTGGCAGCGATTCGGCTCAAGATTCCACGAGCCCATCGCCAGAATGTTCCACGACGCCGAGATCTCATCCTTTAGTCGTAGACTCCAAACCCGAGTCGGCTTCGTGAACTCTGCTTGGAGTTCTAACCTTCTCATCTATGATAGATTAAATGAAAAGCTAAAGGAGCTCAGCAAGTGTCGGCGGCTGGAGGTAGAAATCGCAGACTACCCGGGGTGCGCCGCCATTAGTCCTGAGCCTCATTTGCGCATGCGCGACCACATTCTCCTGGGCCACAACACACTCAGCTGATCCAGACTCCAGAGACTGCGTAGAAGCTCTGAGTCAGGACAACAAAAATATCAACAAATCGTTCATTCGAGGATCTTGTTTACAGATCTCAGACCTTCTCAGAGTCACACTGAGAAATGTTCTGAGGCTGACACCGTGGACAGCGCTGATATGTCGTCAGAGGACTTGGATGAGGGGTGAGTAGCTCAAGTCGCTCGAGGTTGCTCTGATGCGCATTAGGTTGATGCGGTTTCAAACTAGGATTAGTTCGCCACTCCGACGATGACAATCGTCGATGAGGCGTGGCTGGGGGAAAACGAGAACGCTAGAAAGCGCGGAACTCAAAATTTCATTCCCGGCGGAGCGAATGACTCCGTTCTGGGAGTTCGAAACGGATTGATTAGGGGGTCAGCGACCCCCCGAAAGGTGGTAGGATGCGAGAGCCTCTCTTCCGCATTCCTATCTCTGAACTTACATCTCAGATTCGACCTGTGACCTTTGCTGCGGAGAGTCGCAAAGTGAGGCATCGGAACAACTCCATATCAGACGAGATCCATCGGTTTGCGTCGTTGCGGGACGTTATCGCCAGCAAGTTACACAAAGCACCCGACAGCAAAGATCGCCAGGCGGCTTCTATACCCTCGAACAGTCAATCTTACAATTATGTCAGTGGATCTCGACATTGATGCTAGCCTGTGTCGCCTCCGTTAGCTTTCAAAAGGAAATCCGCAAAAATCTCACTTCCCTTCCTGGTGGCAATGACCTTGTCGGTGTAGGTGGTGGCACGGTCAACCTTAAATGGCTCGAACCACTTGCGTCGTGAAAGCAATCGTTGCGACTCCAACCCGAGAAAATTGGAGAATCAAGGATTCAACGATAAAATCACCTGCCCATAACAATTACCCGGCCGGGATACAAGGCATAATGTCTCTTTTGTCGTTTCTAGGGTGATGCCCGTCGCTTTCTCGGACAGCGATTGGGAACGCATCAACTATGAGGAAGACTCTCCCATATTGGAAAGGTCGTCGAAGATCACCGAGATCATCGATGAGGACGGCATAGGGCCCTGCGAGACGCCTGAATACGATCTACTCTACGGTAGCGACAATGAGGACGCGACCAATATCGATTTCAGGCATTCTGGTGAGTAACGCGAGATGTTCTCCTGGAAGTTCATTCCAGGAGAGGCGTAAATAGCTCACCCACGGTGGGGGGCATAGAGGGGCTTGGCCCCCTCCGAAAAGTTCTCCGACAAAACTCTGGAGCCTAAGCCGCAAGGAGGCGCTTCATCATATTTTTGAGCTCATGCCCCCCTCCCGGAGTGAAGCCTTCCCCTTTCCCCGAAATAGAACTCGGCACCCCCTTATGGCCCTCTCAGACTCCTCGATCCCTTCGTGCTCTTTCCAGGTGGCTTCAAGTCGCGCTCAGGGTTCGATCTTGATTCCTGGTTGTCAGATTCTGCTCGACTCCGTTTGGAAGCACTGAGAGCTCGAGTCTTTGACAACCCCTATTACTGCAAGTGGGTTCCAGGAAGGGACTATGTTCCAAGGCCGGAAAAGTTTGACGAATTCACCTCCGATCCAATATCAGCGGATCTCTATCCGAATTCCTTTCTAATGCAAGATCACGCTCGGCAGATTCATCAAAGGCAATTGCATGAAGCAAGCCGCCTTGTTCACCTCTTTGGCCGTAATGTTCCTGCCGTTGATCCTTATGGTCCTTTTCACCGTCATGTCGATAAGTCTGGTGGTGTCCCTCTGTTTATTCATTCCTGGTAAGATTACAGTCTAGTGATGATAACAGGAGGTCCCTTTGACACCTCTCCATGATGCTACTGACGCATAAAATCTTGAATTCAGTGGTCGCCTTGTGTACCGGAGTTGTGCTCACGATCATGTGGAACGTCTGGGTTTCCGTTCCGCTATTCCTGATGCTGGCAGCGGTTTGGATCGGAGCAGACATCTTCGAGAAGCTCTTCAAGGCCCCCAAGAAGATCGTTCCAAATCGTCCCCAGGAGAAATGAACGCAGACCGTGGGAGTTGTCAAGCTTGACCGCTTCCAATCAGGCTCCACCAAGCCTATCCGGGGCTCGAGAGCGGGAAAGATGAACCTCAACCCACTGTACATTGACATGGTTGAACGACGTTGCTAAGGATTGACTTCGGAGCCTTTCATTCGAAACAATTCGAGCTTCTCGTCGGGAGACATCGAGTGATTGGGATCCGCCTGATCTATTACTTGGATTTCTTATCATATTTAGGTTTCTCCCTTGTCGCGATGATTCTCCCACCTTCATTTGTTTTGTGCTCATCTCAAACAGGCTTCTCGCCGTCGCCTCCTTTCAGTAGGCATGATCAATCGTTGGGTTCTATGTGTGACGTAGAGACGGAGCTTATTCTAGTCATTTTCGATAAGAGGAACGGTTTCTCTGAAAAGATGAGCTCGTTGGGAGGGTCAAGGGCTAGAGGGAGATACAGAAAGTATTCGGTCGTGATTCTGGGACTTGTTTCGTCTCCTAGCACCACATAAAATTACGCTAGATATCAACTCCTTTCATGTGACTGAGTTCGTCGGACGATGTGAGGAGAAAACTCTCTCAAATAAAACATAAGTTTCCCTTTTGATAAACGAACTTATCACTAAGCACTTCGTTATGATGAATGAATTCTGTCCTCAGTCGTGCCAAAATCGTCACGAATATCGCGGCTGAATAGAGGAGCATGCCCCTGAGCTGAATATCCTGGCCCAGTTCAATGTTAGAGCTCAGATTTTATTAGATCGGATCGAATTTCACGATGATCCCTCCAATTCAGGATTGTCGAATCATTGAGAATTCAACGCGTGCTCGGATATCTGGCTGAAGGGACCCGAGATCTTACAGCACAGTACAAGAGACGCAGAACTATCATCCCCCCCCAAAAGAATCAAGTTCTGCTCGGTGAAAATATTTGCGGAGCATTCCATTAACCTTCAAAACCTCACTATACCCCGGAAATCTCGTCCACGAGTCTGGAGCAAGAAGTGATCGAAAAAAAAAGACAGGGAGTCATCCGCTGCCTTGAAGACCGCCAATAGACCTCTGGCTACTTTCGCCTACGTGTGCATAGCGTGAGTTCCCCGGACGACCGAATCCTATCTAGCGGAGCGGGCGGCGCCGGCGGATAGTCCCGTGCCAGTCGACACACCAACAACCAACCACCGATACACGAACGGTAAGCGGGTGAGCGAGCGAGCTGTGCTCTCATACACATAGTTCTCCCTTGCTATAACAGGGAATTCCCTCTCCTGGCATGACGGTCCACATGCTGGCGTTGCAGCAGCAGCAGTCGTCGTTTCCGACGAGATTTCGATTGAGCGGCGAACGACCGAACGAACGGCGCCGCGCCGCCGCCGCTCCACTCGAACAAATCTACTAGTTGACAAACTGCCCTCGGATCTGCGAATGCATGACTCGAGCGAACCGTGGCGGCTCGCGATGCAGTGATGTCCACGAACTTCGACGCGCGCGAGCGCTACCGGGTCGAGAGCCAAATCTTCTCCAATGTCATGGAGAACAGCAAGTACCTTGAGCCGATAGCGCGAGCGTTCCCCGTGCCCCAGAAATTTCGATTCACTCGGGCTTTCGGCAAAGCTTTCTTCAGGTGTTCCCGATGCCACCACGAGTGGACTTCGCGGAATACCTTGGTAACGTTCGATATCCGCGACGAGAAACTCGTCAAAGTGTGGAAACAGGCTTGTTCTCAATGTGTTAAACAAGCCGGACGCTCTACCAAAGGGGATAACAGTGCGTTCTACCAGAGACCCGTCGGGTTCGGTGTTGACGATCTAATCGAGCTCAGCCAGTGCGCTATCCAGAACTTCCTCTATAAAATTGGATACGTCAACGAAAAACAACGGGGTGTACCTGACAGTTCTCACAGGAGTGAATTATGCGAGGCATGCGCCGACGGCTGCTGCCCCACGATGCGGTAGCCGAGGAGTCGCTCACTGGAGCGAGTCTACGCATTCATGGACAACGTCATGGCGAATAGGATGAGGCTTAGGCGTATTTCGCAGACAGCAACCTCTGGGATCGAAACGACCCCACCGGAATCCAATTCTTATTGGATTATTATCGCGTATTAGCGACCGTGAAGTCTATAATTCGGTCTCTCCCAGACGATCCGCGCCGTCCATGTGGCCGATGCTCACGAATTTCGATTTCGTTCAGTGAGAGATCGATGGCCAGCTGGCGTGCGGATTGACTCCGCTTCCGACGCCTACTTTTTCGGGGCGAATGAGTTCGCCCAAGTCTGTGGATAGGCCTGCCCGCGAGCTCGTAAGTGATAATAACTAAATGCATAGGATGAAGCCATGGAACAAAGGGAAACAAGTTTCTGTCGCTATTCGGCCTGTAACATAGCATGTAAATACTGAGTGGAGACTTCCGCAAAATAGAGTTCATCGAGCTAAGAATGACATGAGTCTTCGATCAGTTGTTATGACGTGATGAGAATAAATGCCTTACAAGGTGTTGTTGGCTCTTACCGAGGAGCGAACGACGTGCTCCTTGAGTGTTCAAAACAGCTGTCAGTAGTCTCTGGGTCAGCGAGCTTCGGATAAAACACTCTTCTCTTTCGTGACTACCCGTGCGGCGATGCTACAGAATTTTTTTCTTCCTAATCGAATCTTGGGCTTCCTCTTGATTCCTGCTCCCAAATTCTCTCACGACCCGCAGTCTCTGGCGCGACTTAGGAATGCCGAGGGAATCGTGTGCTCGGTGGAAATTTCCGCGGACCCATATTTGGTGCTCGATTGCCAAGAATTCAGCGCGCGATAGTCCAGCTCGTGGAAACGCGAAGATTCGATATGCGTTGGCAGCCAAATGCTCATGACTTATACTGGACTTAACTTGAGAGGCGTTTGCCGTTGCATTCGAGAGTTCCCGTTTGATACCCGGCAAACGTCAGATGATGAGTCGAGGAAGTAGCCGACAGAAAATGTTTAAGCTCTCCCATGAGTTTCTTCGCAGCTATCGACCTTCGGAACGATGGCTTAGGCGACGTCCATTTTTGGTGGTAGAGCTTCGAAGGCTCCCGATTCACGAAAAAGATGGGATAATCTTCGATGAGATTTCACGTGACTGGGCTCTCACGGAACCGCTTGCGAAGAGAGTCAGCGAGTATTTTTCCTTGAATCGACTAACTCATCTCAGCCGTGGAGTCAAACGTGCGTTTTCCCGGATGAAGAGCTCATGCGTGGTGGTTCTTCAGAAGGCTTCGTGAAAGCTCCTCATCCTGGAGAATTTTGAGGTCCGAATCCCAAACGAAGTTTGTCTTGCCAAGAGATCGGCCAACAATCCGCTAACAATCTGTTTGAAAATGAGCATTCTCTCGCAGGGAAACTCGAGGAGACTGAAGTATCCGCTAATTTCGCTCGATTGGCTCACAAATGGATGAGCCATTCTTTGGCAACCTGGAGAGCGAGCGGCTAAAAATGAGCAGTTTCTCGCAGGGAAACTCGAGTAGACTGAAATATCCGCTAATTTTACGTAGTTCGAATCCCAAGCTAAGTTT